ATGCACTGAGTTGCCGCCATGTGATTGGCTGATTAGAAATTAAGTGTTAACGAGCAGTTGGACAGGTGTACCTAATAAAGTGGCCAGTGAGTGTATATATATAATAGCCTTTAGGCCCAGGCTGCCCTTGCCCTTCTTTAAAGAAAAATAGACCACAATGCATCCCAAAATACTGACTTTGAGCGTGCACGTCAATAACTGTAATTAGGTCAATAATAAAAACTATCCCAAAATAATGCTTTACATTTAATGTTGCCATATATCTAATCAGTGAAAACTGAATTGTTTACCTTTTGGTTTACGGTTTGTTTACTTGTCCACATCCGCGTTATTGAGCTCAGAGCATCAAAACAAAGCTTTCTTTGCACATAGGACTGCCACTTTGTAGGTCGTTAAAAGTCGAACAAGTCCGCACATTGAGTTGTAACATGAGATGTGGGGGGAAAGGGGGGAGGGGCCAAGGGGGCCAAGCAGGCAGCGGTGATTGGTGGAGCGTGTCCGCCGCACCTCCTCCAACACTCCCCGGGAGGAACGGAGCTCAGTGTCCGTCCGCCGCGCTGCTCTGCTCTGCTCTGCTCTGCTCTGCTCTGCCTACCGAAGGGTCACAAATCAGCTTGTAACCAGGCGGAGATGAGCGGACTGTTTTCTTGTTTTGTCGACGCTGAGGGCTCTTGTTAACTTCCCCCCCCTCCTTTTTGTTGTTGTTTTGTTTTTGTTTTAATGCTGCCTGAGCAGGGAGAGGAGTGAAGCGCGACCCCGAGCTGGATGGATGGTTATGGGGGAAAGAGGGAGACCCTCGGTGCTTGAAGTGTGCAGAGTCCTCGCTGTGCTTTTCTCACTGTTACCCTCCGGTAAGTCACTTAAAACAAGTGTTACACTAACAACTCTGTTATTACCTCACAAAGACACACAACTAATGTTTCAACCTAAAAAAAAATTAAGTTTTTTTAACCATTAAAGCAGCGCTAGCTAACTTACTTTCTGCTAAAAAACGGCTGACACCAGAGTAGCCAGGTTCCCCCACTCTGCCACATATTTTAACTAAAAAACTCAACTAAAACACTCAACTCAACCTAGTTTTCTTTATTTTTTTATATTTACAACGATGTAATGGTGTGTATCCAGGTATATATCTGATTAAGTGAGTTATTTACGTGCAATAAGAGGATTTAAGGGATATTCTAGTTTTATTTGACTGTTTTTAGTTGATTTTGTTGCAAATGTTGGTTGGTTTTTATTTGTTTTTGTGATTATTTGATAAGAAGTAAAGCTCTTTAACTTGGTTTAGTTTTGGGGGATGGGTCAGGATTCAGGAACATTTTTATGTAAAAAGGGACTTTAAAAAAATAAATAAGTTGTCATTTATAGCTGAAAAAGCCTGTAGTTATTAACATAAACTGGGTCTGATTGCTTTGAAACTTTTACTTTTAACAAGTTGTATTAAAGCTGATAAAATCAGAACATTTTAGTGTCAGAGATTCATTTTGTGTGTCTTGAAACGTGTTGTGTTGTGCTGCACTTTGTTTGGTAAAGTGCAATTTTTAAAACTATATTCCCATTTCAACTAAACTAAACTCAAATAACTAATTTTACTAGTATTTACCTGTACGTTTGGAGGTGAAAGTTACGTTCATAAACAAATTAAAGCCTATTTTAACACTTGAAATGTAAATCAACTCACAACAGTGATCCAACGCAGTCTGGTAAACAATTTGGTTTTAATATTTTCCAGGTAAGTATAGAAGAAGAAAAACCAGGAAACGAAGCCAATGTTTTTGTACTTTATACCTTTTTGTATTGAATTCCAATTTTTAGCGAATATTTCAGATGAGCAGAGCRTTGATTTTCATGGTTTTGTGTGTAAAAGACGGACGTAGTCACAGTTGTGTTCACTTTTTATTCTTTCACCACACCTTCAGGATACGTTTCTGTTTTCCTGTTTCGAGCAACACACTGTAGTTTTACTTTAACTTCACAATGTGAACAAATACAGTAAATTTACAGATCAGAAAAAGACAAAAAAAAGTCCAAAAATATTTCAACATTTACGCCAGMGACAGATTATTTATTTTTTACCTTGTTTTAGTCTAATCAAACTGTTATCTGTGGTGATGTGTACACAACCTCTCTATCAATCCAGGCCGACTGCAGTTACTTATTTAGTAATCAGATTTAGCGCAGCTCACTTAACTTGTTTGCCTAATCCTTATCAGTTTCTCTCTTAAATCTGCCAAACAACTAAGAGATAAGGAGCTGATATGAGATGAAGATGAGTTTATTCCCACCTGTCAGATGGTCTGTAGGTGCCGAGTGACGTTAGGGTTGAGTTTTTTTTCTTTTTTAGACAAATACTGTTTAAAGTGTGACTTCATAGCRTTGATGTGACTCCCTACCTTCTTTATTAGTCAAACAGGACGTCGCAGTGAGACACGTTTGAAGAGGATTTATGTAAAAAGGTTTAGTTGGATGGATGTGTGAAGTGTTGGTTATCGGTGGAGATTAAAATCCAGAGTGGTGTTTTAATCTAAAAGTAAAAGCCTGTAGGTGTGAGAGGGAACTCTGTGTTCTTTTCTTTTTCCTTTTTACTGAACCATTAGTATTTTTTTTTAAATAATGGTCACTTAGATACCACAAAGGATGTCAAACATGCTTCGCTTTTGTTACAGTTGTTGTGCAAAGTCATTTATTTTGTTGTTTCCAGTAAAGTCTTTATGAGAAACAAAACAATCGAAGCCATAAGAATTCATCTGGACGCCACTGTTACGTTTTTAATTTAGTTTCCTCTCCAATTTGTCCTCACAGTGAGTCTGCAGTGCAAGATCCAGAAGTGCAACACTGAGTACCTGACGTCCTCGGCGAACTCTGGCCCGGAGAAGGACACGTGCGTGGCGCTGCGGGTCTACTACGGCTGCGTGGCGCGGACGACGCGCTCCTGCCGGGGCGACCTGTCCTACCACGCCACCAAGCATGGCATCGAGGACCTGATGAAGCAGAACAACTGCTCCAGGGACGGGCCCACGTCGCCGCCTCGCGCCCGGACGCCGCAGCCGCCTCAGCTGCCGCCGCCGCCGGTCCTGCCCGACAGCCAGGAGCGCTCSGACGGGCCCGAGGTGTGCCACTACGAGCGCAGCCTGCCGCGCGACGCGGCGCCGCCCAACTACACGCACTGCGGCTTCTTCGGCGACCCGCACCTGCGGACGTTCGGCGACGACTTCCAGACGTGCAAGGTGGAGGGAGCCTGGCCCCTCATCCACAACAAGTTCCTGTCGGTGCAGGTGACCAACTCCCCCGTGCTGCCTGGCTCATTGGCCACGGCCACAAGCAAGGTGAGCTCATTTCTGCTCGTTATCAATCTGCTTGCACGCTTCAACATTAATCACTCCTGTAACACAGCAGGGATGCAGACACTCCTGACTCAGATGAAAACACTTGGATGACGTAAATATTGGTTTAAGTTTAAGCCTGATGCAAACAAAGTACACCGATCCAGTTTCTGGACATTTGTTTAGCTTGATTTGTTGCAAATTAATGGTTGCTGTTCCTTCCAAGGGTCAAGTGAAGCAACAAACCGCAGGCTTTGCACTTTGGTAATGGCCTTAAAATAAACATAGAAAATAGGGCTGCAACGATTAATCAATTAATCAATTAATCGACGACTAATCGATTATTAAAATAATCAATGACTAATTTAATAATCGATTAATCGTTAATCTTTTTTTTTTCTTTACTTTGTTTTTCTCTCCAAACTGCTTTGACACTTTCCACTGCCACATCTACCTTTCTGTCCTTGACACACATGCACAGTAGTGGTAACTGGGGTAGGCCGTGGACGTCACAAGACATTATACAGACAGGCTCTGGTATCATGGCTACCTGGCAACGGAGCTCAAAAGTGTGGGATCATTTTAAGAAAATGAAAGAGAAACCTGTGTAATATCTGCAGAGCAGAACTTGTCTTCCACAGCAATTATTTTTAGCTAGCATATAGCTAAAATCTAACCATGGTTATATAATAGCAGCTGCATTCTGGCGCGATAAGCTGTATGTTTTATATTCAATTAACGTATGATCCGATTAGTCGACTAATCTAAAAAAAATAATCGGTGATTAATCGATTGTAAAAATAATCGTTTGTGGCAGCCCTAATAGAAAATCAAATTATAAACCTCTCTCGTTCAACAATTGATCAACTGTGAGAAATATCTTAATTGCGGCAGGCCTAACCTGCAATCCTGAAGCAGAAAATGATCCAACTGGTTTCATGGATTCCCAAAAATCCAGCATATTCTGTCATTTGAAAAGGTAAAACTGAGATTTTCTTAGAGGTTTTCTGATTTAACCACCTAAACAATTTGTTATAACTGCCTGCTAGGTGGTTATTAGTTGAGTCAGTTAATAAAATTCGACTCTATTTTTTTATCATTGTCCTGTATCTGTGGATTTGGACTTCTGCTGAACCGCAAACACGATTAAAAGCTCTGGAACTGATTTGTGGCTTATGTTTAGTTGCTGTTTTTTGTTTTTTTTTTCCTGGTGACATTGTGTTCAAGTTCCCAAAAAGTCGTCTGAGCACGAAGCGGTTTGCGAGTCTCGTCTTTCATGCGGTTGGACTCTGGTTAGCGTTCGAATGGGTTCTGTGATAATTTACGGTAATAACAGACGGAGACGTCCCGAGTCGGCACCGTCACCACGATCTGGATAAGCTTTTCTAAACGACGCGTCGGAACAGAGCAGCGTCAAACGTTAACGGGACTCCCGTCAGCCAGGCGTTTGCGCTCCCCTCCGTTCCTGAAAGGTTTCTGTCTTCAGCAGGACACAACGTGATTACAGTTTGGACGTCTTTTTTTTTTCTTTTAGTGAGTCGACCCAGATTTGGCAGCGCTTCAGCAGCGAATGTGAAGTACTTAGAYGGAGGTATAAAAGAACTTAATCACATTTGTAGAGACTGTAATTTTCTGTAATGAGGGTTTTGGTAATGACACTTATTAGGCTTTTGTGTGTTGTTTAGCTTTTAAAGTAATTACATTTTTATGTTGCTATTCTTGGAGGCAAATGAGAGCTTTTTTTTTATTTGTTAGAGCACAAAACTCGGAACAAAAGAGAAAAAAACAGAGCAGCAGTAAGTGGCACCTGTGCAAACAGGATGTGATGGCAGCAAATGAAACCTTTAAGAACAGAAGCTGAAGACGGGTAAAGGTGTAACACATGAGTTGTCAGGTTAATAGAGCGTTCTGCGAACCCACAAGCAAGCAGACGTCAGAGTGTGTCTGTCCTCTGACAATGGCTCGTTGGTGTCCCATGAAACCGAGCCTGGAGAGTCCTGTCCAGCCCCTCTTCATTAGCTGCAGAGTCTGCTGCCCCCCCACCGGAGCACAGTTCTGGGGGTTCACAGGCAGGTTTTTCAGCTATGAATAGATCGTCTTTGTGTCTGCAGACTGAGGCCGGATTTTTACACAACTCGTGTTTTCATGGAGGGCGTTCACCTCGGCCTCCCCCCGCGTTGAGCCGGCCCCGTAACGTGACACTTGAGCAGGGGGGTGCGGCAAAAAAATTAGCACAAGCTTGTCCTCGGTGCGACCATATGAGCGCGTCCATTTTGAATTCTGAGTGTTTCCTGTTTGTTGGTCGACCCTGATGTTCGTGTCCGTCTCTCCGCCCGCAGCTGACCATCATCTTCAGGAGTTTCCAGAAGTGCGTGGAGCAGAAGACGTACCACGCCGAGACCGACGAGCTGCCCGCCGCGTTCGCCGACGGCTCCAAGAACGGCGGCGACCCCAACGGGGGCAACACCCTGCGGGTGGTGGAGAGGGTCCCCGGGCAGCACGTGGAGATCCAGGCCAGGTACATCGGGACCACCATCGTGGTGCGGCAGGTCGGCCGCTACCTGACCTTCGCCGTGCGGATGCCGGAGGAGGTGGTGAACTCGGTGGAGGAGGACGACAACCAGGACTTGTACTTGTGCCTCCACGGCTGTCCCGCCAACCAGCGCATCGACTTCAGGAGCTTCAGAACCCGAGCGGCGGGCGAGGCGCACGGCGCGGGCCGCCGCGCTGCGCCGCACGGCTTCACCTACCAGTCGGCAAAGGCCAAGTGCAAGGAGCGGCTGCCGGTGGAGGATCTGTACTTCCAGTCCTGCGTGTTCGACCTCCTCTCCTCCGGAGACATAAACTTCACCATGGCGGCGTATTACGCCTTCGAGGATGTAAAAATGCTCCACTCAAACAGCAAAAGATACCACCTGTTTGAGAAAAACGCTCTGAGCGGCGCGGCACGCCGAGGCACAGATTTACTTCTAGTTTTCCTCCTCAACCTCCTGGCGGTCTTATTGTGGACCGAGCATCATCTATAGTCCGTTTACAGAAGAACCTTCACGTCATTTAGGTCAGTGCGTGTTAAAGGACTATCTCCGTGTCATGTACTGGCCTCTCACCGGCTCCACGTGTGGACCAGCCCAGCTCCGGCTCTCATCTTAGTCGTTCAGTCTCATCTCGGCGTCAGGCTGAACACATCCATCATCACGTGCGTTTAGCTGGTCTTAATCTTTGAATAGAGCAGTGGTGAGAGAGCTCGGCAAACCCCCAGAGCTCTGGGTGTCTACCTGGGATTAAATCCCAACCGTCTCATCAGCCTACGGGAAGCCGGACAAGATGATCTTTTGCAGAAAGAGGGGTTTCGCTGATCCTCCTCCTTCTCCGGATTCCCACATCGGTGCCAAGCCAAGGAGGCTCTGTGTGGCTCATGTGGCAAAAAAAAAAAAGACACAAGGAGGACCTGACAGGAGCTTTTGTTAACCTTCTAGGCCAGGAGCAGCTCTAGGTTTGATTAGTTTCCAGGTTTGGAGAAGAAAAGCCTGAGCCTTTCTGGAGGGAGCACCCAGCCAAAGGGATGTCAGAGCAGCGTCTCCAGTCGTCTGCTGGGGAGATTAATGGGTCACATTGTTAGGTTCTGTGTGTGTGTGTGTGTGTGTGTGTGTGTGTGTGTGTGTGTGTGTGTGTGTGTGTGTGTGTGTGTGTGTGT